TAGGGAAAGCTCCTTCCTGCTCTTTTCAACACTCCCTTTACACCAGTTTCTTTCCCAAATCAAAGCCCTGCAACAGGGGACAGGAGCCAGGACTTAAAAGAAACAGTGTCAGTTTTCTCAGGTAAGAATTGGTTACAAAACATAGGTAAGAATTATTACGAGTTTTTAAAAGCAGATGTAGTGACTGTAAACTTCAGACATTTAAAATCCAACTTGCAACCAAGCAGAATCACAGTTATCTAACCACAGTACAATTTCTGAAATAATTCCAACAGAAATAATAATCAAAACCATAGTTTAGCAAGAACATGAAGCAAGCCAACTTTCAGTAAATAATGCTTTTGACCTTTCTGCTGCAAATGGAGGTAGCATGAAAATTTCCATCTCCATTTTTCACTGATCAAGGCAAAGTTAGCTCTAAAGACAAAACAGACATTAACATGAAAGAAAAATCAAAATTTTTCAGTAGTCTCAAAAAAACCCACTTAGTTCGACTTGCACAGAATTTGTACAAATAAATTCTGAATCCTATAGCCAAGTAAACTCCAGCTTCTCCAAACTGTTCCTTTTTTTTAATATATCCCAGTTTAAAGAAGTATCACAGACACTTAAGATTTTGTCTCTGTGCATGTCCAGAACTGTTCTGTGAGTGTGCATAAGGGAGATCTCTGAGCCCCAACATTTGCGGACTACTTCTGGAACAGCCAGTATTAAATTGCCAAATGAGAAAGCAACAGCATGTTTAATACACATGAACTAAGAAAATGTAAATGATAAGACAAGATTGACTAAGTAGTATAAAGCACTCTGTATTGATTAGTAGCCAAGTAGACAGGAAGACCAACAGCTTTCAAACAAGGCAAAGATGCGAAGTGTCATACAACTAAGGTACTACACAGAACAAACTCCCCTCTCTCTGGTATCTATTGCTTTACGGGTATGTATTTCAGGAACAAATAAAAACTCTGGAACCCCCAGTTCCAATCCAAACCCGTCAAAAGTGCCCTGAAATAAGACCGTTCTTCCTAAGGACACAGCTACACTTTAGTAGAACATGATGTCATCACAATGACCTAGCTCTGAGTGACTCTGCTCAGAAATCGCTATATCAGCATGCTGCTTCATCCAGACAAACACACCCAGCTCCCCAAAAGACCTCACCAGAGTGAGCCGAGTGTCAAGCAGCTAACAGTGCATCTAAAATCCAATCTACATTGTTGGGAACTAGCCCAGGTATCACTTCATGGCACTGCACGAAGCCATTTAAATGAACTTAAAGTTAACAGGATGATTGCACAAGGGAAAAAGGAAATAACACATTAACACCAGCTGCCTTCCTTAAACTTACTATCTTAACATGACAAAGAAATTACTTTCAATATAGTACCTGATACATAATGTGTTTCAAATATGACTAATATTAATACAACTATATTTTTCAAAGAGCTTTTATTTGTCTGCTTCCTTTCTTGGATATACATAACACGGCACATAGTTTTTGTGTTGGTGTATTATTCAAACATGAGATCTGAGTCCAGATACAAAATTCAGTGATCCTCTTTGCTTTGAATACAAGAGGTTAGCTTATATTCACATGAAAAGCCAACAGACTTACCAGAATACCTCTAGACCGTAAGACTTCTGGAAGCAGAGTACTAAATCCTAGTTCAGATATACATAATTTCACAGTACAGAAAATATATACCTTTACAAGAAAGAGTTTTATAAGAATTCCTTCAAAAAAGTAAATATTCATGAAAGCCTCCACTCTATCAACCTCACAAAAATCAACTGTAGTCAAAGACCACTACGGCTACCTGCGCCTTCTGGACATAAGACCATTTTATGAAGAGCACCATCATAACAGTAAAATTGTCAGTCAATCCTTTAGCTGTCACAAACATACTTATTTCATAATTAAAAATACAGGAATCTCACATTTGTCAATTACAATTTGTCAACTTGAATTATACATAAGCATCTAAAGCGATATAGGACCCTCTAGTACAGAAAATCCACAAAGCCCTTACTGTCCATTGTAAGCAGTCAAATCACTTGTTTTCACAAAACATAGCATTCCTGACACAAAAAAAATGTTTAGCTTGGCAACAATTGTCATAAAAAAAAAAAGGAAAAAAAGACAAGTTTAAAAGTAGCATGTGTAAAACCTGTCTAAAGCAGGCCCTTCTAAACGACATCTGTCCAATGGCCAGATACCACGTCTGTTCTCACAGAAAGAAGTCTGCAGTGTTTCTCGGGAATTGTTCAGCATTGCAAACAATAGCACTCACATGCTCCATCTCATTTTTGCTAAATCACAGGTTTTAATAGTTCAAATAATTTATCGTCCAGATTTAAAAAACCCAAGATATTAAACATTAAAAGTTCACAGGTTAGTTTTAAAATTCTGTTCCCAATCTTAACGTGTATAGTAAAACGTTCTTTCGAGGCACTGCTGAAAAATCCAAGCAGGAACTGATTGTCTTACATATAACCATAAACATTCAAGAAATGGTTGGTCTATTTTGAGTTCCAAATGTCAATGTTCCCACGAATGGGAACAGTCTTGATGATTTGATTTTCTATATTCTGTAAGTGCTAGTATACAGTCAATGTTAACATACAAAACTTGGCACTAGAACTGCCTCTTTCAGAGCCATACAGTCTTCACATGCACTGTAACCTACAGTCAAACATAATTTCCAACTGTGCTGGAAATGTTCTATTAGCCTATATCTGACTCTTTTATTAAAAATAAATGTAGGCTGGATTTTTGTTTTAAAAAGCCTATCTTCTTCTCCCACAACTTGAAAAACAAGTATCAAAAAGGAACAAACAGCAAAAATAGAAGAAATAAACACATTGTGCTAGTTATGAAGCTCTGACACGTGACAGCCACAGTCTGAGGAACAATAAAAAACCTCCTATATACAAATTTTATATATACGCTAAGATTAAGAGCTTAAGAAAATTACTTGTTTTTGTTGCATTTATTTCCACCACTTCTGCATCTGACTGCAACTCATGCAAACGCATTTTCAAATTTATTGTTGTGCAATAATCTCTTCTATTTGGTCTGGCAACAGAACTAGGTCAACACTTTCACCTATAGGTATCTAAAAATACACACTTTTAG